GGTCAACCAAATCCTTTTCTAGCAACTCGCAAAATGGACTTGTGTTTTTCGTTAGTGCAGGCGTGGCTAAGGACGCGCGTGAATGATGCAGTGCACGTTACCATACAGGTCAGTGAACGACCTCAGAACAAAGTCCAATTCCGCAACTCTCCATTCTTCGGAAACTTTTCTTCCGCAACTAGTTGGTACTCTTCCGCAACTACTCTTCAGAAACTCTTCTTGGCAAACTATTTTGCGATCTTCAGAAACTATTTCGCGATCTTCAGAAACTATGCGGCGATCTTCAGAAACTTATTTGCATGCTTTTAGAAAATATCCTTTAACACTTTTACAATATTGTAACCAAATTGCATGAAGGAGCACTGGGTGGGTGGGGGGTGGGTGGGCGGGCGGGTAGGATATTGACCTACCTTGTGACGGCTACCGTATATAGTTTTATACACGCCTATTTTGCGATCTGCAGAAACTTTTTCGTGCGGGTTTGATGCTTCTCTTCGACTCATCGACTCTTCGTAGTTTCCGAACATTAGTGTCTGAAGAAAACCGTAGAGTTTCGGAAGACTAATTTCCGAAGAAAACCGTAAAGTTTCCGAAGATTCGTTTCCGAAGAAAACCGTAAAGTTTCCGAAGATCACCTTTTAGTTTCCGAATAAAACTTTGACCAACGACATCATTTTTTGCGTTTGATGTTAACAACATATTTGTATGTATGTATGCACGCATTTATGTATGTGTGTATGTCTGTATGTATGTAGGTATGTATGTATAAACAACTACTGTATGTATCTTAAAAACTATTTTTAGGGCCAATGAAGTAGAGGAAACTCCTTTTCGGCTCATCTAAAAACAATTCTAAACATAGTCTTTGACTTCCAGGATACGTGTATGTATAAACACTTCTCGTACTGAGCTTTGACTGGGACCAGGTTTGGGCCCAGGTCATGCTGGACCCGTAGCTGTGAGTCGAGTCAGAATCACTCGTTGGTGCATATGGATGCCCGTGCACGGTCACATAGTTATTTTTGATTCAGAAAGGAATAGGTAATGGATTGGTGTTAAATGTTTCGGAATCTACACTTCATTGCTTCCGGATTGGTGTTGAACGGATCGCCAGTCACTCCAACCGAGACCATTTTTTTTAAAGAGTCGACTGGACTCAGAGGGCTTTGATTTTCTTCCAAGTCCCAACATAATTTTCCTGTTCTTGTTTTGGGGTCAGGGTTGTGACCGCTTTTGCTTCATTCCCGGCGCAAGACTTGTGCCAGATAAAAACGAACCTGAGAGGAGAGGCATTATTATTGGACGAAGGTAGCTAAAAGGATGTGTCGCTGCACTTGCTCCAATGTCGTCAGCCCTGTTTGCCTGCTGAAACATACGAAACACTTCTTCGTCGCCTGGATGATTGGTGTTCCAAACACCTTGAAAGGGCAGTGGCTTCTGACTGCCCGTGGTTTGGTTGTTCCAGTGGAAATTCACCAAAACAGATCAAAACTGCAATTTTGGGGGGGCAAGCCCCGCAGAAGTTTGGTCCTCTCCCAACATGGTGTTTGAGATGTGTTTGTAGTTGCCCGCGGATGTCAGCAAACGGACGACATGTGTTTCTTCGCAGAGTGAGTCTGACAGTACGCCCTCAGAATCCGGGGCCAGGTTTGGGACCCCTGCATTTTGATGGCCTCCCTGAACCCTGCGCAAGGATTTGTAGGCAGGGCACTTTGATAGCTTCGCCATCCCTACAGGCCAGTGAAGGTTTTCATGAAATACTGGAGTTGACGTACAAAAGCTTCAATTAATTATACATGCATTTAATTTACTCAGATTAGGTTTTCAGGACCAGGTTTGAACCTGGGTCAGACTGGACCTGTAGGGGTATGGTCTTCGGAGCGTGGCTTCAAACAATACTCGACATGGTCAACTGTCTGAGGCTAGGCCGTGGAGCCTTAGGTTTTCTCTTTTAACTCGGACGGCTGGTGGTGAAGACCACTGTGGAAGCAACGGCTTCGATCCACGGAAAGCGCTTTTGGAGTCGTAGCATGGAGAACACATGGAGAAAACAACTCTCAGTCATAAGTCCAGACTGTATCATCATTGCGAATTGATGTGTCTTGTCTCATCGAGCCGGTTCGATCTCAGCCATCCGCTGGTGCTTTGCCTGTCATACAGTCTTCCGCATTAAATCATGGCGGCTTAAACCCTGTGTGCGACTGGCAGCCTATGGACTCGGCAAAAAGCTCCACGAGCGCAGGTCACAGATAGGTGGCTTCTTGGCCGTTACCGAAACGGGTCCATCCCCGACACTCGCTGCGCCTCCGCGCCGCCGCGTCGCCCCGCCGAAGCCGCGATCGGGAGGTCTCACGCGTGGCGCGCCAAACGACACCGCGCGGCTGATGCACTGCGATCGGAGATGGGTTGCACGTTTCGGCTCAAAATGGCCACTACTGGCTGTTTGGCCATCAGTTTGCAAAACGGGGCGGGTTCAGATTCGTGCTGACACTTCTCCCCGCTAGACGGTTTGGAAGAGGCTCTTTTTTTTTTGTACCAAAGAGATGCCAGGCTACGTGTTTGTTTCGGCACGGGTCTTCCGCATTTTGTTTGGTAGCCTGCCGTTTGGTCATCAGGTAACACCCTGGTTCCGGCCTAGCTGGGCCTCCCAGTTCTCATATTCAACCCAAATAACAGGTAATTGAGGTTCCAAACATACTCAAATATGTTCCACATATGATTAAATATGTGTGTATATATACATGTAATAACTGAAAGATATGTAAAGCCTATTGATGTAAGACCTACTGTACAAGAGCACTTCTTTTCGAATAGCTGCACAAATCACTTGTCAGCGCCCCAAACGAGGCCCATCTCTTGTCTTGTTTTGCTGTGCCCGGAGACAAAGACACACACACACACACAAACAAAACCAATGCTGCAGACTCATCGCTTTGCCTTGCTGATGGCATCCCTGAAAAAGCTTTACACCGCACTCTGTGGAGAGACTGCATTTGTTTTCTTCAAACAACCACAGAATGAACAGAATGACCTGCAACTGCTGCAGCCCGTACAAACAGAGACGTTGAGTTGCAACGTTGCAGTGCATGTGATGCCTCTTTCCCCCCCCCAAAAAAACAAACAAACACACTCATGGGACTCTGGAACGAGGGCATGTCATATTTGTTGATGGCGGTCCGTCGACGATTGGAGCTCCTGGCCCGCCGCTCGACGGCGATCCGATGAGGGTTGAGGTGGGGTCATCGAAACGTGAGGGACGGACCTGATACGTGGTGCTGGGAAGCCGACTTTTTGGAAAACAGGCACCCAGGCACGACCTCTCAAATTACCCTCCCTCCAACAATCATGGAAGTGGACAATGGCCTGGAACACTATTTTCCACTACCAACAGGGATTGTCCACTTCCATGTTTGTTTCAGGGAGTGTACAGTATATATATATATACACATTGAGCTATGAAATTACAGTGGGGTGGTTGCTGTATGAGTCTTTCTGGGGTTGGCATTTTTGCACCAGTCCCTGAGTGGTTGCCATTGTTCACCCCATGCGTTCAACCCCAGTAGGTCGTGGGGTCGAATCGCTACAGCCGCCAGGAGGGAAGGAATCAATTCACCATTAATTACTGTGGCAGTGGGTCAAACAACCTCACCCTACAAACCATGAAAGGTTGACGATCCCAGTAGAGGGAGTTGTAGAACCTTCTGGCTGTAAAAAACCCAGGGTTTTTCCCTGTGCCATGACCCACCATATGAATTTCCACATCTTCGTGGTGGCAGGTCGCTGGGAGACCGGGAGGTCGCACATGTTCGTCTCTCGCCGGACCAGGTCGACCAGGTCGCAACCAATCCGACGGGAAGATCTGAGGACAGGTTGCTCGCCTAACTTCTGATTTCTGTTTGTAATGTATATATATATATGTATATTATATACCTGGTGCCTATTTTGTGACCTCTATTTTGGACCAACCATCCATCATTGATCCGCGGACATCTTCCATGAAGACAGACCAAGCCAGGGGTTTTGGGGTTCCATGTCCTTTGCAGAGAAGAAAGGCCTTTTCCATGGGCGAAAGCCACGGGTCCTGAAAGGTGACCCATCCTGAGATGAGCTGCCGACGTCGATTTGCGGTCGATTCTGGCCTGGTGCCAGGCACCCCCTGGTGCCAGGTCGTCGATCAGTTCCGGTCACTCCGCTCCGCTTCCCATCCTTTCACCCGTCCCTGGGGCCCTGGGGCTGTGACAACAGCACTCCGCTCCGCTCCACACTCTTTCGACTCCAAAATGGACCCTTCACGAGTGCTCTGCATGATCGGGGGGAGTGTTGAGTCTAGCTCTGTGAGTGTTGAAAAAGGATGACTGTACTGGAAACAGGCCATGAAAACACACGAAAACTCACCACCGCTTGACTTGAGAACATGTGCCGGCTAGGTGTTCATCCACAAGGTGCTCTTTGCAACACCAGGCGCCCAGCTAAACACGGCCACTTCTGGCCAAGACATTGGTGCATCCGCTTTCATGGATGTCTATATCCAAAGTCTAGCACTCACCCCGTGAATGCATCCTGCCCCGAAGCAATACGTTTGTATTACATATTTTATATTATGTATAGATTGGACAAATCTAAGGCAGTAAGACTTTACTTTCAGAAACATGGTTGCAGGATGCACACAATTCAAAGAAAGGAAAGGCTCAATCCTTCAGCTGCGACAGCTTAAGTTCCACCATCGCAATTCTGTAGATGTTCTCTTTTTATTGACACCTTGCTAAAGGCCCTGGCCCTGAACATCTTAGAGCTTTGCTCCATCGACGGTTCACCGGGGAGATGCTTCATCCGAGGCGCCGCGCCTTCAAAGAACATATCCATCTGCAACTCAGGGTGCCCATCGCGGTCAATCCCTCTTGCTTCATTTGGATGGGTTAAACGGTTAGACCTCCTTGTTGGCCAACCCTATCCCACAAACATCTGCATTAGCTCGCATACCCCAAAAAGGTGTCCAGGAGCTTGTTGACGTAGGCCCGGAGGCACTGACATTCCTCATGATCAAGGCTTGGAGGCCACCCTGTCGCACATGGAAGTTCCACGTCCCAGTTCCACGCCCCAACCACCTCCTCGCCGCTCGCCACATGTCGCACCTGCCGCCTTGACTTGCCCCCAACCGGTCGGTGCCCGCCTGGAAGCTCGTCGGAGCTTGCCCGTGGAAGACCGGACGCCGGTGCCCACCGCGCTGGAAGGGGCTCTTCACGTTCCGCCGATGACGGTGATTCAAGTTTATCAGATCTCGGGGAACTTGGTGACGACCTTAGACGCCATAGCTCTGCAGCAGCTGGTGGCTACAGGGAAGGATTCTGTGAAGGCGCTGAAGGAGCAGCTGGCGAAGGAGTTCTTCTTTGGTGCCGCCTGACTTGATAGATCCGGAGTTGGCGTGGTAGGGTAGTTCGAAGGGTGGAGGGCTGTGGAAGTTTACTGTAGTGTCGGATTTTTCTCAAAGGCCACTGTTTATGAGGGTCTCGAAAGAGAAGCCGTGTGGAATTCGCCCCTCGCCTCCCCTCGTCCAACGGCTCTCCCGGGTGATCTTCGGCTCCCGGAGACACCGAACCCGCTCCCGGAGAGGAAGGCCCTCAAGTGGGGTCAGCCCCTTTGAGAGGGGCTGAAGGTCTCAAGGAGTTCGGTTCTTGCAGTCTTGCAGTCTTGCATGATCTTGACTTCCTTAGTGGCATCAGAAAAAACTCGCCCCAGGTGTAAGAATTCTGACGGAGCTTGCGGGTTGGAAATTGGACACTGAACAATATCCAGGCAGAGAACTAAGGGGTGCCCTGAAGGGCACTAAGCGGCGCTGAACGACGGCATGGGCGCGCGCTCACTGCCGGGTCGTCGTTGAGGTCTCCATCTACAGGCTGAAGCTGGTCTATCAAGGAATGGTGCTGGAGAATGATCGGACCTTGACATCGTTGGTGCCTCGAAGTATCAGATCGGACTAGCTAGTTCGATGCAAGAAGGAAGGCAACGCAGGCAACGCTCTGGTTTTTCTCCCCTCAGAGGTGCAAGCAGTTCGGTGCACACGTTCAAGGGAGAAGAATGGAACACTATTTCTAGAGTGGAAGAGACCAAAGGAAGTGGCTCTGAGCTATCTATATGAATTGGGTGCCCCTGCGGTCACTTTCAACGGACACAATTTAGGACTATGCAAGGAATCCTCGGGATGCCGGTGTGCCTCATCAACTTGATTTATATAAACCTCCTTTGCCAGAGTCCTGGTAAACGAAAACAATGGAAACATATAGGTCTCCAGCTGATGGATTTTGTAACATCCCGGCAAAAACAGACGTGACAATCATGACCAAACACCCTTCTTCCTAGGCATCGGGTGTGGAGCACGTGGAGCTCCTCTTGACCGTGCTGAGTTTCACCGTGCCACGCCCGGAGCAAAGCGATGCCTTTCTGCGGGCCGTGCAAACTTCGGAGGTGTCGGAGATGGAGAAATATCTGCAGCTGCCGATCAATCCGAATGAAGTCATGGACTCGGACCTGCTTCATGAGCACGATGAACAAGACTGGCACCCGGTGCTGTGGCATGCTTCGGCGGGTGGGAATCTGGAGGCGGTCAGGATCTTGCTTGAAGCTGGAGCGGAGAAGGAAGCCGTCTCGTCCGACTGCTTGGAATCTCCTCTGGGCACCGCCAGCCGCTTGGGCCACGTCGAGATCGTGGAGATGCTGCTTCAAGCGGGTGCTGATCGGGAACGGTCGACGGAGATGGGTCTCTCTCCCCTGCAGGCGGCCAGTAGCCATGGGCATTTGAAGGTGGCACAGGTTTTGATTCAAGCCAAAGCCCAGATGAACCGAGAAGATACCAATGGCAGCACACCTCTTCTGAGTGCCTGCAGCGGGCTGCATTGGGAGCTTGCACGGCTTCTGATTGAGGCACGGGCGAATGTGGATCAGGAAGATCATTTTGGTGACGCGCCCTTGCGCTTGGCCTGTCGATATGGCACAGCTGAAACGGTGGAGATGCTTTTGACTCTCCGCATGAAAACGGTGTGGACACTGTGGAAAAGGTTTCCGTTCCTTTTTTTGGGGAATCTGCTTCTTCTTTTTTTGAGCACCGGGAGCATCGGGACATCTTGAAAATCCTCGAGTCTCACATCGAGAAACCTTTCTTTTTGCCTGTACCACTTCGGTCATTTTCGGTGCTTGATCATGTCATCTCAGGAAGGCAGGTGTGGATCTGGAAAGCGCCAACTCCGAGGCCCAAACGCCCTTGTGGATCGCTTGCTGGTTCGCTCGTTGGGACGTGGCAAAGCTCTTGCTGCAGCACCGCGCGGACGCGAAGCGCACCGATCAGAGGTGCCGATCGCCCCTGTGGATTGCGGCCTGGTGGGGCCACGTGGATATGACGCAGCTGTTGATCCAAGCAGGGGCTGAAACCAATGGGGTCACCCATGAAGGTGATACAGCACTGTTGATGGCTTCTCAGTGGGGCTGCTTGGAGATTGCGGGGCTTCTGATTGAGGCCAAAGCGGAGTTAGAGAAGCCTACATTTGCAGATGAAATGATTTGTTTTTTTCCTCCCCAATGCTGGAAGAAGGCCGATTCTATACACAAGCCCCCCAAAAGAGGGGTTCTGTAGGCATGATAGATACTTAACTATAAGATATACATTCTCCAGGTGCTTGATCTGCACATGTTTCAGGAAACCGGATCTCTTCGGTCGTACCCCCTTACACGCTGCTGCACAATACGGCCATCTGGACGTGGCAGCACTGCTCATCGCCAAGGGGGCTGATTTGAAGACGTGCAATCTGAAGGGTCACACATCTCTTCACATCGCCTTTGAACCTCGACCTCGCCTTTGAACCGCGTCGGCGGCGAAACGTGTCGACGATCGATTCGATCAGTGTCAGGTCGAAATGGCGTGATCTGCGGATTGGGGCGAAGGATTTTTGGGTGCCAACAAGGAGGTGTTTCCTGCTGTTTGGATTTAGAAGGGGTCTTTCCTGTTTTCTGCGGCTCAACTAATTGTATCTCGTTTTGGGCGCCAAGGATTGGCGTCAGTATGACATGGTGAAGCTCCTCATTGAGAAAGCAGCCAATGTACAGCGGGCGGATCAGATAGGAAGGACCCCCCTGATGATGGCATCCGGCGGAGATGATTTGGAGATTGCGGAACTGCTCCTCAAGGCGAAAGCAGAGGCCAGTGCAGCAGCCAATGTGGATGGATTTACTCCTGTATGGATTGCTTGCTGTGAAGGTCACGTGCGAATGCTTCAACTCCTTCTCGAGGCCCGTGCCGATGTGAATCGGCCCATCTTCAGTGGTGAAACGCCCTTGTTCGTGGCTTGCTGCGAAGACAAAGTACCCGCCGCCCGGATGCTGATCGAGGCGAGGGCCGATCTCAATCAGGCCGATCTGCTGGAACAAACGCCCCTGTTGATCGCCTGCCTCCACGGCGGGCCGCAGATCGTCCAGCTGCTCATCAAAGCGGGTGCTGACACAGCTTTGGCCAACCTTAGAGGGCAAACGCCACTCTTCGTCGCTTGTAGAGCTGGAAGATTGGAGACGGTGCAATTTCTGATTGATGCAGCTGCTGATATGGAGAGGCAGGGCCCGCAGGGCTGGCCAAAGTTGACACATCTCGGAGAGCAGATATGATACATTGATTTTATAGTATTTTACATAGTGTTCTTTCAACAGCAGGGCCTACAACACACACCACGCCATGTCTATACACTGCGCCCCTTTGCCCATGACCTCTCATGACCGCTCTTTGCCCATCTCCTGCCCACACGTGAAAGCAAGAGCTGCAACGTGCAATTACAAAGTTCAAACACTCACCGTGCCAATTTGTTCAACCACTATGCATCCATTCATCCCCTAAGATGCCGTGCCTTGCAGATCGGCTGCAGTGCGGCTGGCCTTGCCTGGGTGGCCATAAGCTGGAAGGTTTGCCCACAGAACTCCCAGCATAGCGGTGTGTCGCGTGTCGATATGTCGAGCTATTTAGGGCGGACACTGAGACAGTTTCTTTGTTGAGTCCCCTTCCCAACAGTGGAAACACGTTGACGCGTTTCTTGCTACAAATTGAACAGATGGACTTCAAATCTTTTCTGCAAGAAAAACAACAACACCTTGACCAGGCCGAGAACTCTTAGTTCGATTCTTATATAAATCGCTCCTTCAACCTCATGTGTTGGCCAACCACCTGCTCAGCCGACCCAACTCGACCCAACTCGACCCTTCGACCCTTCCAGGCCCAGCTTTCGCGGCACCACACCTCTCTGCGCAGCGTGTCTCAACAGCCGCTCGGCGGTCTCCGCGGTCGGCGACAACGCGGGTCTCCGAAGGAACGGTCTTGGGGTTTCACGGGAGTGTTCGGTGAGATCCAAAGGTTGGGGTGTTGACAGTGGTGATACACCAGAAAACAGGTTGGTATCTGAAAGTCCTCACATGGTGGTGTTTTTGGGGGGGCAACAGTTTCAGGACAGGTGAGGCCCAGCCTGATAGCATTCGACAGTTCAGCCCAAGCCATGCAAGTGATGCACCTCCCCCAAAAGAATCGATTCAGTGATTCAGTGTCCAAACAATGGGTCAAAGACGCTTTGGAGGGTCAAGGCAGTATCTACTTTGAGTGTTTGGAGGTTTGGGTGACCTAGAGTAGGTGATTGGTGTGCCAACTGGACCATGTCACCAGATCATTGCTCTTCTTGTCCGAGACTTGTCTGAGAACGCAGATGTTTGCTAGACTAGACCTTTCCAAGTCTTTGCGTGGCTGATGCTAGTGATAAGATATGATAAGATGACCAGACCTCAGCCCCCCTAAGAAACTCAAACAGCTCAGTCTACCTTGCCCTTTCCGACCCGTTTTAGGCCATGTGGAAGTGGTGCGCTTGCTGTTGGAGCGGGGCTGCCACAGCGATCGCCCTGCTCTGCCGGAGGAGTTGCCGCGGAGGTTGGAGCTCCTCCAGGTCTTCGACGCGGGCGTCAAGCGGCGGCGCTGGGCCTAGTGATCGGAGACTGGGCTTAGTGATCGGATGTTCTTTTGGAGCCGCAAATGGGTATCCTCTAAGGGACATGTAGCACAGTACCCAGCGGCAACGTCTTTTTTCGAGATGTCAGCGACAAGCTGTCCTGTGGTCGTTCCACACGAAGCAGAAGCAGCTGACATGAGATGCGCCATCCGGAATCCGGAAAAGTGGCTCCCTGCTGCGTGTCCGGAGTGTCGTCCGGGTATTTGGAGAAAAAACATACGAGGAACCGAGGAACCAGTACCTGGCACCAGGGTGAGATTGACACATTTTTGATCATATTTGCAAGAAGCTACTAGTAGCTCCTGGCATTGCTAAGACACAAGGCACGACCCATGCAGGGATACAGGGAGCTTCCACGGTGCAGCGGCGACGTCCGAACGGGTCTGTTCTGCTCCTTCAGCCGGTCGTCCGAAGCTTCGTCAGCTGTAGAGTTTGAGTCGTCTGTGCTTTTGTCAGCTGTAGCGATCCGTCAACTCCAGTGAAGCGTCGTGGTGAAACACGGAGACTACACCAAAGGAGTTGGCATGAGTACCGAACGGATTCGTTCTTTTTAAATACAGTGCATCGAACGGACCAAACAGCAACACCCGCTGTAAGTCCAAGAGTCTGCACATGCATAGGGCCAAGGTGACTGTTTCGAGCGGGCAGTGGTCAGACTCTACAGTGTTTCAAGGTCAACATGTCCCAACAAAACCGCTCGGAGCACTTCATCCCGAAATCCTTCAACACTTGTTGGGGGCCTCCCAACTCCGACGCACGACATGTGTCATCCCGTTTCGCTGTTCTTTTGAAAGGGGTTCGCCCTTGGCCTCCCCCAACCCCAAACGACCATCCCGAAACGGTCTCGGTGCTCCTCGGCAGGTCGGCTGAAGAGCGGCCCGAACCGGTCTCGGTGGAGAAAACGGGGGGCGGAGAGGGCGGTCCCGGTGTCTTCGCCCGAACGGTGGCGGCGGCACGAAAAGAAAGCTGAAGAAGATCACTATCTAGCTAGATATCATGTTAGTTAGATAGTTAGATGTGATATGCTGTGAGATATGTGTTAAATTGTGTTTACTAAACATTTGCACCATGCAATGGTCCTTCCAAGACCTTCGAAAGCAGATCCTTCAAGGGGGATGGAGAAATGCAGATTCCACGGGCGGAGTCGTACCGGCAGAGTCTTCTGATGGTACCGAAGACCCGGTCTGGCGTGACAGCACATGAACATCTGCAGCGAAAACTGGTGGAGACTCTCTCCAATTGTGCATGTCTTTTTTTTTTTTCTCTCTCTCTCTCTCTCTCTAAGAAGTCCAACATTTCAATGCAATTCACATGTTCAGTTCCACACAGGTGAACAACCCCGTAGTGTTTTGGGTGACTCTGTTTGCGCTGCCCGATCAGCTCCACGTGAGCTCCACGCAGCCGGCATGTGAAACATGCATATGACCGGTACAATCCGGTGCAGTCTCGGGGACTGAACCGACGACGCATTGGTGCACCCTCTACGGCCACCAGACTTTATATACCTATATGTTGCACTCTCTGTGGCTCACAGTGTTCTCTTCCACTGCAGAGATGATAGCTTCAACATGATTTTGTTTTCTAGACCATGAATTGATGGCCTTCCCGGTCGACTCGAAGAGTTGCGAAGCGAACGAAAGACAAACATCAAGGCGCAGATGAGACTACCAGCTTGCAGCTTCCACTGTTGCACGGCGCATGCGCAAAGCGCAAAGCGGAACTCTTCAGTCCGCAGGAGGTGCCCCAAGTGCCAAGACGAAGCCAATCACACGACCCACATGTGATAGAAGGATTCCTTCCGGTCATTGATTGAGGAGTTAAACCCTAACTCAGACTCCATCAAATTCCTTCGCTACATGGCCTTTGTGCCTAGTGCGGCAGAAGGACATGGTTTCAGATACTTATTCAGATGCTTAGTGTAGTTTGGGGCCCCTTTCGGGCCCCACAACCACCACAACGAAAGACCAACCAAAAACAACACAGACTGTTGCATGTGAGGTTGGTATGGCACTCACTTCATGGTATGATGGAATGGACTGTCTTGTTTCATCGGTGTTCTTTCAACAACCCCCAAAACCCCAGGAGTGTCGTGTGGTGTTGCCTCCCCACCCCACCGCCGCCATGGAGCTGGCGGCGGCGCTGGCGGGCTGCGGCGTGAGTCGCAAGCAGTGTCGACAACTGCGAGGCGAACTGCGGCTGGAGGAGGAGAGGTGGCTGGAGGAGGAGTGGGTAGGTTTGGTGAGGTAGGTACCTGGCAGGTCTTTTGGTTACTGGCAGAGATATTTTAATGGTTGCTGAACAGACGGACAAGGCCAGGTCCAATCCTGTTGATATGTCATATATAGTTGTATATATATATAGGGTTTGTCCTATTACCTGCAACAGTCAGTAAACAATTATCACCATCTTTGAACAAGGCCTTTACTAACCATCATCATCCACTGGGCCCAGGAATAGGATAGAATATAGATTGCTCCCCACCTTGTCCCACCATAGACACCAGTACTGCTGACCGTTGAGTGGGGGTGTCTTCTGAGTCGTGATTCAAGAGTAGGCACACCGTTTTGCAAGATGACCGGTCACCGGTAAGTTCTTTTTCACACCACACGTTTGGTGCAAAAACGGCCGTCTTAGCTTTGAAGAACCGTGCGAGCTGTGAACTGCTGCGCGGCGCCACCACGCAGCAGCTGAGTGAGGACACCTTCGAGGGCCTCCACCGACACTTTCGGCACGACCAGCGCCGAGTGGAATCGGCTCTTCGGCGGCTCCTCCCGCAGGGGGAGGAGGCGGGAGGTGATTCTGGTCGTTGCAAATCCGTTTACAACGAAGGTGACGATGCAGCTCGCTTTTCCTAGTAGTGATTCTGGTCCTGCTAGATTGGTGGAGCAGAAAAATCTGAGTTCCGCCCAGTGGTCGATTGGTTTTGCCATTTGGATTGGGGTGCTTTGTAGTGGTGAAGAGGCTGGTACCTGCGCCATTGGGGAAACTCTGGAACACGTCGAGAATAGTGTAATGACTGGAAAGTCAGGCATGCCATTGTCTATTTCTGTTCTGGGACAATCTGGGACGGACTTCCAGGGAGCGAGTAGGTCGCTGGTTTGGACCTCCGCTCTCCGACGTGTGGCGTGATGGAGGTCATTCAACTGTTGGAGTCTTGCGAGGAGCGGCCGGATTTGATAGGCCTGGTGGGCGGTATGGGAAGAAACAGAAGTCCAAACATCTCTGGTCCCAGCAAAGCCACCAAACATCAGTGAGGTTTCGCCTTTTCTGATGGCCCCATGGAAGAAAAAGCGCAGTGCAGGATTTTGCATGGCGCTCGTTCCGCGGTTTTCAGTGGGACCCTCCTTTCCAAGAACAACTACTGTGCTTGGATGAAACTGTCTTTGTTGAGGCATCACAAATCCTTCGGTGGTGAGGAAGGGTGTAGCTGAAGGTTCATTCAGTTATAGTCAGTATATGTCAGTATATGACTAGGGTCTGTCCTATTACCTGCAACAGTCAGTAAACAATTATCACATATTATCACTATTTTTGGACAAGGCCTCTACTAACCATCATCATCCACTGGGCCCAGGTAATAGGATAGACCCAAAGTATGACATGGATTCGAAGATGGAGGAAAGCCCGCTGCCAGCTTCCCCGCTTCGTGTCCTTTGAGCTCGGAAACGTGGATGAGCGGCCAAAACAACTCGAAGGTCTTGACCTGCTCCGTGCCAAATTGTCACCGACCGTTGCTTCTGCATGATCAGGCGAACCGGACAGATTTTCAATCCAATCACCCCTTCCCTTCATAGCGGTTACTTTTAGGTCAATCCCTTCCCTTCCATTGATCCAAACCTTGGACCGCGGTCAACAAGCAGCGCCTCTGTGTCCTTGCCCCACCCAGCTCGTCCAGCTCGCTCAGGCACTTGGGAGGAACCCAGCGCGCCCAGCGTGCCCGGGCGCGCGCCGAGCACCGCGGCGGCGGCGGCCGGCGCCACGGACGAGCTGCGAGAGGCACGTCATGGGCTGTGAGAAGATGTGGGGCGAAGGGTTCTGGGATCGTTTCCAGAAATGTTCCGTTCTTCAAGAAGTACACCCAGACACTCCATGGGACTGGCACATGAATCCAGACAGGGGTGGTTGAAAGGGGGTCAATGGGGCGGCAGTCTGGCATCCAAGGGATATGACGTACCTCTATAGATTTGGAGATTAGGCCCCGATTCACAACCTCCTTGCCGCCGCCCTCCGATTTCCAGGTCTGGGGCGCGCTGCCACGCCTGCAGCTTGGAGAATCCATGTCCCAGGCCACGGAGAGACGGAACGCGCCACGGGACGCGCGGTGTTTTACATCGAACGCCTGAGAAAGGCCTCGCAGGTGCCACAAAAGATTCTACAAATCAGCTAAAATCATATAGACAATCAGGTATTGGCATCCAATGTCCAATCCATAAATCCAGCTTTAGTTCTCTTTTTTTGTTCTTCCTTCTCCGTTCCGGAAGGCGGGGGGTCTGTGATTGGATCGACCAATATCATGTTAGTATTCTAGCGCGACGGGGCCGAGTCACAGTCTCCAGGTCAAATGCAACGGGCGACCTCTTTATTATATATATATATATGTATACTATACCTAGAACCTCATTGACCCCCTGTTCTGGAGACCAAACATGGTCTTTTCATATCAAAAAGCAGGTCAAAGGGGTTCTAGGTATATATATATATAACATTATTTATATACACATGTATACGATTAATCCTCTCAAACCCATTGGTTAGCCCTGATGGATGCGGACTCCCCGCAGGCCGCAGCCCGGTGATCGGACTCAAAGGCAACAGCATGCGCCGGCATGCATGGCTCAAAGGCAACAGCTCACCTTTTCACGGAGAAATCCACCTTTTTTGTGAGATAGGCATTGGACCTGTGCGACTGGTGTAGCATTTCCATGACTCCCCAGACCACCTCCCCCCCCCCCCCCCCCCAGAGGCCTGGGATGCCACGACTCCCGAGCCTCCGCGGGTCCTGTCGGCAGGGGCACGAGGAGCGGGGCCGCGCGCTGCGGCGGCGCCTGAAAAGCCTGGATGCCTCGCAGCAGGCGGTGCTCAAGGCACAACAGACGCAGCTCCGCGCAGCAGGCCGGTGCCTCTGAAATCTGGCATGAGTTGGGTGGAGGACTGGAGGAGCACTGGAGGAGGACTGGGGGCATGTTCTTTTTGTTGTGGGCAAGCCAGCAGTCTGTATTGCGAGGATTCTGAGGTGTTTAGTGGTGTTTATATACATGTTTTTGCATTTCTTTTTGGTCATGTCACGGGCTATTTTCTGTAGTTCTGTGTTTTTGACTTTTGAAGGAATTTTAGAGGAATGCATCAAACAAGCACGGGGATGGGAAGAAGAAAAGGATAGGACCTTTAGGAAAGGAGGCCAGTCAGAGGTGCTGCTTTTCTAAAAGCATGTTCAGACTTTGATTCGCCCAGGTTGACTTTTTTTTGGCACAGGGCTTTTGATTCTTTTTGTTGTGCATAGAATTCACAAGGATTAGCATCTACTTCAAAAGAGACGGTTCTCTTTGAAAAACATCGAACATCTTCTCAAGCGGAATCAAGTCTGGGTAGATCAGCTCCCGCGAACAAATTAGCCATCAGCAACACCCTTTAATATTATAGTCAAAGCATGAGTGAAGAACATGAACGGAACAAACACCCAATGTCAACAAGCAACAAACTGCAAAACAATGACACTAGTAACAAGTGCATTGCTACTAGTAACAAGGGCATTACTACTGGTAACAAGAAAGCTAGTAAGACAGTTCCCCTGTCCTCACCCTTCTCACTGTCACCTTCGGAGGAATTGTCCTGTCTTCCTCCAGGCGCTGCCGGTGCGGAGGAGTACCTCACCAATGTCTGGAGCTTGCTGCAGACGACCGAGCGGCGCGTCGAGTGGATGGTGGACTTGATCGCTGCGCAGGTGGACCCGAGCTCCAGCGAGTTCGGCGTCCGGCGCGTGGGATGCCGCGGCCGCGGCCGTGGATACGCCGCGCGAAAGCACGGCGAAAGGTGTGACACAGAGGTTTGGTCGGGTGCAGTCGCTTTTGGGATACCGGGTGCCTTATTTTTCACTATACCAAAAACTTGGCAGGAAAGTAGCCACCACTGAAAAGCCAAGCAGCAAAGCAGCCACCACAAAAAACCAGGCAGGAAGGTAGCTACACACCAAAAGCCAGGCAGGAATAGCCACCACACCAAAAACAAGGCAGCAAAGTAGCCAACACACCAAACGCTTGACAGCAAAGTGGCCGCCACACTAAAAGCCAAGCAGGAAAGTATAGCCACCACCTGACAACCCAGGCAGGAAAGCAGCCACCACACCAATAGCCACCACACCGAAAACCAGGCGGGAAAGTAGCCACGACACAAAAAACCAGGCAGGAAAGTAGACAACCAGGTAAAGCACTCAAAAACATAGAAGGACAGTATGACCTGGTCTTAGGTGAAGTGGCTACGTTCCTGCTTGGGCTTTGGTGAGGTGGCTACTTCCCCTTGCTTTTGGTGGTTTTGTGTGTGGGGGGGGGGGGGCAATGGCGACAAGGGTCCCAAATATGATTCCAGGTTCCCCAAAGCTGTGGAGCTATCCGGGTGCCCCTAACTAAGCCTCCAGCGGTCCGCGGCATCTGAGTATATTCCGGCATCGGCGTTCCGTTCGGAACATCGCCACAGCTGAAAAACCAGGCAGGAAAGTAGCCACCACACCAAACAGTTGGCAATCAAAAAAGCAGTGAAAAAGATTGATGGGGAGAAAGCAGTGAAAAGTGAAGTTCGTGGCAGCTTTGCCTTTGACTTGCGCTTGGATTGCACCTCCTTTCAATTTCGTTCCTGTCAAGTACTTTCACTATCCCACGGCCCATCACGGCCCAGTCACATGTAACCGGTTTTGCAGACCTCTTGCTTTGAGAACGTTTTAAAGAAGTGCAAGTATATATTATTCCCAACAACTCACCACGGTCAGAATAGTTTTCACATGTTTTCACGAAGTGAGGTCGATGTATAGCGGAATACAATTGTTCAGGGCACCCTGACGGTGGTTCTCCCTTAAGGCACGGGGTATCTTTCTGGGCCTCGTGTGGAAGCCAACGGAACGGATGAAAGGACACGCACACAGTTCCAAGCTCCTGCAGTGGGGGGTCGTGTGTTGGGAATCGGAGTTGGAGGTCAGTTGTGGTGCTGGTGGCGGCCTATTTTTGCATGTAGACTGTGGATGAAGAAGTTGGATTCTAAAGGAAGATGCCACCGGAAGCATCATCCCAAGTGATGATGTGGAGCTGCCGGACGGGGAAAAAGGCGAAGGTGGGCCATCCGGCACGGGGTGTGGCTGCTAGCTATTTAGGCTTGTCAGCATTTGTTCAGCCTTATGCTGGACAGTAGCGCTTGGTCAGGCGTGCTGTAAGTTAGTGGCTCTCGCCCTTAAGAGACCCGACGTTTGGTTTCAGGTTTTGCAGGCCAGCAGCATTATACGGGCACGTCAATACATGCTATTTCCTCGTCGCCCTGATTCTTGTTATATTCATTTTTGCACGGCGTTGCAAGTTGGTCTGACATGTGAGTAGATAGGATTTGCACTGCGCGGTCTGACTGTCGGCGTGCTTTTCTAAAGGTCCAGTCTGCGGAACCTGGAGTAGCCGCCTCGCACGCGCAGATCTTTGTTCTTGTGGCCAGCCTTTCCGTAGCAGGACACGTGGGCTTGGACCGTGTCGGCTTGGGGCCTTTTGGCATCACGCCACGATGTTTTCGGCACCGGCTGCTTGTAAAATTTACTGAGAGAGACCTTTTCAGACAATTCCTGACAACTCTTCGACGGTCTACGGAAGCCGTAGGCAAAATTGGACGAAGGGAAGTGCAGCAGTCAAAAATCACCATCCATATAGGTAGCACCCTACTGATGCCACATGCCTTTGGAGAAAGAACAAGGTGCCAAAGTACTCCTAGTACTCGTGGCATCAAAGGTCAAAGTTTGGAGGCAGACATTCCTCATGAAAACCATAATCCTTCTCCCAAAGCCATTGACGTAAGAACCATGGGAATATTGAACGCGCCTCACCACTCCCAAGCATCAATGATGCCGCAGACCTCGGAACTGCAGCGCGCTTTGCGCCGCGCCCTCGAACGCCGTGCTTTGCCACCTTCCACGCTGCTGGCGTGTGAGTCCCGTGCTGTGCGTGCAAAGGGAGAACTGCTAACTTTGCCGGAGGCAGATTCCGGTTTCGCTTTTATTTTTGTGCCCTCGCAAGTTGTGAAACCTTGAAACTCGAATTGTCCTGTTTGGTCTGAGGCGTACCTCCTCCAAAGTTTGTCGTTCTGCACCTGTGCCGAGCTTTGTGCCTTGGGCGCGGCAGGAGCGCAGCTGCAACGGCTTTGTGAGGAAGATGTGCTGTGGTGCTTGCATTGGGCAAAATGGCGGTTGCCAGGACAGGTGCCCAACAGCGAGGTCAGGAAAGAGGGACGATTGCACCGTTTATTTTTTGGTGCTGCATCAACCAATGAATCATTTGTACGTACTACAGTGACCATTTGTTTTTGTTAAGTAGCCCTGTCAGGTCCGGAAACATTTCCTGATGATGCTCGCCACTCAATGTGTCGAACCCCGGCGGCGCTGAGCCCTGCAAGACTCTCCATGGTACGACCATGGGTATACATAGATGGAAACACTTACAATCACAGGATGCCCCCCAGAAAGAATGAAAGGGATCTATGTTTCGCACCTCGGACAAGTCACCTAAACCCCGAACATCCCAGCGACGCTTTGGCCCTGTTCAACACATTCTTTGGGGATCGGCCGATCTCTCATCGTTGGCCTTCCTCGCGGTGTTCGACTCGGATCGGGGCCGATCGCGGTGAAGTCGAAGCAACACACCGGTGACCAAGTCCAGACGCTGCACCAAACCCATGACCCATGACCGATGGACCCATGCGCCACTTCCAGGCGGTTTTGTGAATTGGCCACCTTCGCGCGATCAGGGTATGAACTACTTGACCCACACACATATGCATGTGTACATCCTGTTTTGAAGGCAAACACTGTACCTGGTTTTTCACATGTTTTTGGCTGCGCAGCACACCGCTCCTTTTCTCTTCCATCCTCACCCTCCTCATGATTCCTCATCCTGACAGGCAAACTAAAACAATCGGGATGAATCTCAATTGATCACCCACCCCAAAATCCTCCCATCCGATTCGCCTGCCATTTCCACCTTTCTCGCACCCGCCCACACTGTTTGTGCCCTGCTGCACCTTGCATTTTGCGGCACACACACTGTCTTTCTTTCTTTCTTTCTATCTATCTGTCTATCTATCTATCTATCTACCTATCTATCTATCTATCTAACTAACTAATCTATCTATCTATCTATCTATCTGTCTGTCTGTCTGTCTATCTATCTATCTATCTATCTATGTATCTATCTATCTATCTAACTAATCTATCTATCTATCTATCTACCTATCTATCTATCTATCTATCTATCTATCTATCTATCTACTTTTGCGCCGAGGAATGTGGTGCTTTGACGGACTTCGAACATGCCATCCTGGGCTGCCGCCTCTGTGAGGCTTGCGAGCGAAGCCACAGCCGCTACGCGCTCATCAGGACGGAGTCCGGAGCACCGGTCGCCACCGGCGACGGCACCGGCGACGGCTGTACCGGTGGTGCTTCACTTCGCGTGCTTTTTTGGGGTTCAGAAGGAGAGGACGAGGGAAGAGACGTCGAAAGCAAAGAATGAGAGGAATGAATGCACGTAAGTAGGGCAAACAGTTCGGGACATTGGCAGAGGTTTGAAGCTTGTTTTGGTGTAATGTAAGACTAAGATCTATCCACTCCAACATCGTGAAAATCAAAGATCCACGGATTCGGGATGAACGCCCCCAGTCCAATCGCCACTTCCACCAATCTTGGACTGCGAATTCCAGCAGTTCTAGTTCCATCCTGCCAGCTTGCAAACAGGTTTTCAGCTTCAGCTCCACCCCAGGAGCAGCTTGGCCATCCGCGAATTCCAGCTGCCTTTATCGGCCATGCAGCAGCTGCCGGGCGTCGATGGCTCCACGGGCCGCGTGTTTTTGCGCTCCATGGTGCAGCAGCTGGCGGAACGGCAACATACTCAGGTCTGGAGTCCAGGGGAGTTTTGGGTTTTGAGGGATTCTTGGGAGGGAGAAAACAACTTGGACAAGTAGAGGGATGATAGGGCTGCCATGTTTAGGATGTTTTTCCCAAAATCATTTGAACTGAATGATCTTTCCATTTCTAGAAAACTGGTGACCTCAGGTTTCCGCCTAAGTAGAGGTCTTTTTCTTCAGTCGCCTAAGCAGAGGGCTTAGTAGCGAGCGAGTCCGTCCCACAAAGGACTCAATAGGACGGACCTCTCTTTGCGAGTGGTTTCAGATTAGATATGGCACGTTTTCCCCTTGATGTCCTGTCGACAGATGGGGGTGCACGACTAAACCACCGACCTAGAGGGGGCCCAGGAGAGCCCTTGGTCCTCGCCGTACAGACGACGTCGACGTCGGCGACCGAAGCGGACATCGACGGACATGACAACGTCTCGGGACTGACGACCATGGCGTCAAAAGGCCGTTGGACTGACGACGGTTTTTGGACTTCTCAGAAAAAAAGACAGCTTAAACATAAGGTGCTTTATGATGGCTTTTAAGGCCTATTTGGAATGGCCAGCATCCTGTGACCTCCAAATTCCGAAAGCCAGAAAGAACACCACGATCGCGCTCCGATCTCCGCTCCGCTCTCCGCTCCGATGTGGGTCGCATCTGATCCGTGGAGACTTTGCACAGAACAAATGTGAAGCAAAGAAGACTATACGTTGCTTTCCTATAACTCGGACGTATGTTTTTTTTCCTCCTTTGGACGCACAATGAAACCACATTGAATACACAATTCTTCTCTCAACGACTGTGTGCGGCTTTTCATGCTCTTGACTCAGGAGAGCTTGCAACAACTTCGTGCCAAGAACGACATGGGCTACACCTCCTGCGGCCGCCGCAGCGAGCGCCAGTCGCGCAGGCGACGGGATTCGATGGGCGAACCGGTGTGGACGGTGGTGGATTTCCCCAAGGGTTCGGCGTTCGGGGCAGGTGATGAGTTGAATCACTTCCAGGGGCCCAGTGTTTTCATCCATTTCTTCGAGGATGGATGAGGGTTTGGCCCTTGGATTGATTTTTCTATAGAAGATTCACTAGGTCCTGTGGCTTGTTAGATCTTAGATCTGTAAAGCAATTTAAGAGACTGATGAACGGTAAAGATCAGTTTTGACATCTGTTCCTTCCCTGTGGTGCCACAGAATTGGGGATAGGTCAACCTGGAGCCCCAATTCACCCTGTGACCTTCCAGGTAGGTCAGGTACCTTGTTTTAACATGTTTTGACCCATTGCCATATACTATCTCTACGTTCTCTTCTGCCACTTCAGCTGATTTCCGGTGTAGCTCCCATGGGAGACCGAACCGCTGGCGGGGTTGAAGCCGCACCCGGGCAGGCCGGGCTTCGGGGGCTGTTCGGTTCGCCTGGCCCTGTAGACTGGGTAGACTGGTCGGCCCTCTTCCAAACCTTATGAGTGCGGAACGTCGCCGCTTCGGTCTCCCTATTGAAGACACACCCAGGTCTGGCGACTTGCGGTTCGGTCCAGTCGTCATGCCCCGTCTTGCTGACACCCACAGCATCATGCAGTTGGTCACCGGGGTTCTTGCCTTGCTTGGTCACCGGTGGATCTCCCCGAAGCAAACGGTGCCAAACCGAAAAGCACAGGAACGCTGCTGGAGCACCGAGGCCTTCAAAGGAGTCTGGCATCGCGGGCATGGGGATGGATTGATGTGTAGGCCTGTCAAAGCTCCAAAGGAGTGGGTCAAGAGTCAAGAGAGAATCATTCCGACTCACAACGTTTTCTAAGAACCATGTTGAAACGTCTCTCTCTCTCTCTCTCTCGTGACCCACCCCTTTTGAGGGGGAATAAATGGATTTTTTGGGCTGGGGTGGGCTCTGGAGGGCTTCTGTATCACTCAAGGTGTTTTCCCAGGCGCTTAGAAGGAGCAAGGAATAAGTGATTGGATTGATGGACGGATGGATCGGTTGCTTGCTTGCTTGATTGAATGGCGAAAGAAACATGACTGTAATGATACCGTAGTGATTTTGTGGGGAGACACAGCATTCACTTCTCTTGCTGCTGCCCAATGCGACGGTGCCAGGACAGCGACCCGTGTTGCTTCGAAGCTACGGCGCTCCGCCGTGCGGATCAGACCGACGTGCCGTCGGCTGCGCCGTGCCGTGGGCCGCAGCCGAGGGGGTTTTCAGAGGGATGGATTTGGAAGTCAGGTCGTAGGTCCTATCATGTCCAATGGATTTCCCGTTGGAGCTAATTACCAAGTTTAGCAAGTTTAGCCGGCGGATGCCGGCGGTAGGGGTTGTACTACTTGCAATTCCAACATAATATAGTATCTCTTTTTGATGTTTCCAGGACCCAGTCTCACCTCAGTTCGTAGTCCTTGATTCTTAGTCCCTACTAAGCATCAAGATGCACAGTTGAGGCGCTTTTGCTTTGAGACTGTGAACGTTTGGCAGCACTGGACAATCTCACGCATGTTTTTCAAAGTGTCCCCTCAATTTCCAACAAATCCTTGTGAACCCGTGACTCCTTCAACACGACTCCAAATCAGGCGCAGCACGTGCTATCCGTGCGCAGCACGTGCTATCCGTGTTTGACATTTGATGTACGCCCTCCCTTTGTTGACCGGCCCTTCATTGGACTCCTCCCGGCCCTGAAGCCCCCACGACTCCCGGGAGGAGGCGTGACGAGGATCCTTCGCTACCCAGGAGCCTTCGGAGGAATTGGTTCAAAAGGCGTCCGTGAGACAAGACAGACATGCAAATGAGCGCCAATTGCACATGTTGGTCGTAGAACTTAGATGATACCACGATGATGTTTGTGATTCTTTAAGAGAAACAAATCAGTTTCAACATTTTTCAGTAGACTATTGGCCGGATGCGATGCCATGCTTGTATTATAGATGCAAGCATGACATTTGGCCACCTGCACCTCTAGAGTGAGCGTGGGGCAAAGTACGGGTCCACATTCCACCCGGACCCAGCCGGAACTGGATCAATGAACCCCTTTTAATAGGTGGAGGTGGAGGTGTGTTAGTCCTGTAGTCCAACGTCAACCAAAGATGATCAAATATGTAGAAGTGCAGATGACCACCATGCATACCAAGCTCCCGACGCCATTTGAGAGAGTATAAAGACCCCCCATGTAAGAAATTTTTATTCGCAGGTCCGTTTTTCTGGAAGCATGCTCAATCCTTTGTAAAACGAAAAGGAAGAAAACACATTATAACCCAGTGGAAAACCCTTGACATGCGAGAAGTGGTGTGAAGAAAACGTGTGCACACACACAAACAGAAACCCTACCACTGTTCCAAAATTGTCAAGGTCAATGCATGACTGGTCTTGGTGGGTATGTGCTTGGACAGAGGTGGGAGGGCTTGGACCGCTGTAGCCTTGTGCTACAGCATTGTTGTGCCACATTGCTTTCCAACTTGCACCAGGCATGAACACGATAACACGACGAAAACAAAAACGATAACACAGCGAGCCGAAAACACCTTTCCGTGGGCAGGCCACCTGATGGGTGTAGTTGGAATGAAGTGTGCCTAATGTCTTCATGCCTGCAAGGTTCCACACACCACATGCATGTAGTACACACTATACATTATATAAACTACTTTTGTTGCAGTTAGTCGAAGTGCAGTAAAGCGATGAAGGAAAAAACACGATATCGGCAAACTAGTGGCATAGGGAAAGATAGCAGGCAGGTTTTATTTACACCACCTCACTTCGGCTTGACCATCCCCCGATGCCACGAGACACGTATGCAACCCCACGGCTCGACCGACGGCAGGTAAGCTCTTCCTCCCTCTTTCGGCTGAGCCAGACCAGAGCTTCGCCCAAAAAAGGAGCGCCGAGGCAGTTGAGCTCTGGGGGGGGGGCGAAATGGAGCTGAGCTGCGAGCTCAGCTGAGCTTGATTTACTGCCCCTAGCCTTGGATGTCAATACGGTCCCTTTTCCAGCGCTGTTTTCCGGATGAGCGTTTGATGACACAAACCTCTTGCACTTCGTGCTCTTCACAGGTTTTGGGTGTGATCTAGGAGAGTGAATCTTGCCCAGATGTTCAACACCCTGCTATGTGCTTAGAGTAACGCAATGAACCTTCGTTGGCGTCGATGTCCCTAACTCCATCCTGAAGTTGATTCAGTTCTGAAATCCTTCCGTAGTTGTATCCTGCGACAGTTCTGTGTTCCAAATCTCTGTGTTTTGGAGGCACCACCTTGCTCTTGGCGCTCGAAGACGCCTCAGGGTAAGTCTAAGATAGTCAAAGGTCCAGGCTAAGCACAAACATGTGCCAATGTTTCCAGGGAAGAGATCAGGTGTTGTGGCAACGTACAGCGAACTGCGCACACCATTCGCTGATGGGCGTGCTTTTTGGGGGCGCTGAGTGTCCAAACAATGTCTCCACACGGCCATTTTAGGCCCTTTCGGCCAGCCATCATGGTTAAGAGACCTGTCATGCAAGTCACCTGGACCGGTCCATTCTTCCATCTTTGTTTCTTCCATCTTTGGCAGCCATGATCTGTGCTGCAAAAGATGGCCCGGAGGTCAAATGCTAGTTGTTTCAGACTTCCAAGATATAGCCCCTTTGACAGATAGCACTGGTGATCCACCCAGAACGCCGCTTGGATTTGGCCGAAGCCATTTGGATCGAAGAATCATCATGGCCTTGTGATTGAAAAGGCAGAGCTGTTCGGAGCACAAAAGGTTTGAGCCTTTAATAAGATATGTTCTTTGCCAGACACGTCATGTATATATATATATATATATATAGAGAAGGCCATTGCTGTCCCCCCCACCTGGCTTGGCCTTTGGCTTCCTGAAGGATCACCAAGCCAAGCTGTTCATCCCGGTGTCATACCTGCGGGTGAGTGGACCTCCTTCATGTCTCGGACGTCCGAGTCTCCTCATGCAACGTCTTACACCCACACACCGACCGAACCACTGGTCAGGGACCGACCTGGAGCGGACACCCCAAAGAACTTCCGAAAGAGCATCCAATCCATCGCTGTTCTCAGCACAACTTCCTTTAGCTAAGAACACAGCACCTTCTCAGCACCTTCAACAGCACATCTTCCGCTGCTGTTCGCTGCTTTTCGATGGAGCCCCTCGGCTTCTTTCTTCCGCGCGGCGAAAAAAACACCTCTTTCGTGTTGCTGGGTTGCTGGCTTTCAGGTCCTGAAAGCCTCGAGTTTGGGGGGGGGCGAATGGATGTGGGTCATGGCACTGGTCGGAGACCGAGCTGGGGCACACACCTACGGACGATCGTCCGTCGTGGACTGGTCGGGCTCCAGGTGGGTGGACTGACCCCTTTGAAGTACCCCGTTTCCGCACCCCTCGTACACGGAAAGGCTTCTGGAAACTTTTTGTTGCCGACCCATCAAACAGAAGCACCAAAGTTCGAAAAAGACAGTGCACCGGATGATGTGAAAATACGGTCTGTTCCACGAGGTGGCCAAGTCAAGCCTAGCCTAGTCATAGGTTGACCACATCGCTAGTGGAAGCGTTGAGAACTTTTGGAAGCGTTCACTTGCAACGTTCTTTCTCTTGCAACGTCTCAATGCTCCCCATACTGGACCGCAAGATTAGCACGTTGGATCGCAGAGTGGATGAGATGAAGGAATTCTGGTCTCCTCTTGACGAGCTTCAATGGATTGGATCCTGAACAGGAGCTTCAAACTCTTCATTCTACCAGCACCTTTCAGCTTGCATGCTGATTTAAAGATGGGGACACCTAAGATTCTGCCCTAATTATTGACGTAGAAATACGTAGAATGTGGTTTCATGATGGTAGCACTCATTTTGGACACTCGGATTTCCCTCTTTCCTTTCATTCGTCTTCCCATTCCTCCTCCCTCGTGGACCGCGCGAACCCGCCCCGGCTGTGCTGGGCTTCCGAAGGCGTTTGCTGGGCTTCCTTTGCGCACTGTGCGCTGCCGTGTCCTTTGGGATCCAGTGGGGGAGCCCGAGAAGGAAGGTAAAAGGAGGCGATGTGGCCATGGTCCTGCTGTCATGATGTCATCTGAAACAGACTGTATTTCGTAGATCCGACACGAAATTTGAGATGGTGAATGCTGTGCACCTTCGTTCTCCTCCTCCTCCTCCGTCTTTTTGTAATAAGTCTTGGGCGGAAGATAGTTCCCAGAGATGAGAATATGTCGCAAACTGCACAAGCTTCTCCAAATCCCTGCGACGAAGCCAACTTTCGCTTCCCATCGCATTCCCCCCATCTCTTGATAAAGTGGTCCACGCCTGTTCCAACCAGAACTCTCTTCCTGCACCTTCCTTGCGCCTCACCCGTGATACACGGACTATATGATCCCTGACCATGACGGACACTGGAAACCCCCGCGCGGAGCGCCTGAGGTATGTGCCGGTGAAGAAGTACGAGATCTTCGATGGTGTGACCTTTCAGTGGTTCATGTGCGGCGGGATCTTGATGGTGCCACCCTCAGGGACCGACCTTGAGTTCTTTTCTGGTGTTAATCTTTTTTCCCGCGGAGAGAGGTTGTTGGGATGGTCTTTTTCTCTCCTGAACATTCCCGTGACTCCTCAGGCTTTGATGGGTTCAAGCCAACATCATAGCCAGATTAAGATGTCAACAGTAGGATAACAAGGGCCTTGAGCAGTTTGAAGGGGCCACGCCATGCTTTGCCTCTGGAAAAAAAATCCTTTGCCACTCCGCAGCCGCTCGTGCGGCGTGCGTGGCGGGGGAGGAGACCAACGCCATGGGCGTGTCCAGCAGTTTTCCAACCCCTACTAGGATTTTGGGGTATTCTATCTGTTGCCCAGACGCTCCTGGACCCTCATATGCATGGGTCGGACCCTCATTTGGAGGGGCCTGGACCCTCAAACCCCCATAATTTTGAGGGATCAAGGGCTGTTTGGAGCGTCTGGGTGAGTCGGCATTTTTCAATATTCTATCTACTTCTTACTTATAGTATTCTTCCTAATGTCGACGTCAGATGTCCTGAGATGCAGCGCATCTCGGATTCTAAGCCGCTGATTCGCATCCAGAGATGTGTGGGATCCGTTTCTTTGTTTGCACAAGATGGTAACCTTATAGGGTCAACATGGAGAGGAACATATCACATGTCTCCTACTAGTTACGTGTCATTAGCATATACAGCCATAGAGCATGAACCTTCCACACTCCACGACCATTTTCCTTTAGAGTGGCCATCTTCATCCATCTTCCACATCTATTCAATGAGTAATCTTCACATAGGGACACACCTTCAGCACTATTTCGTCGCCCTGTTTCCTCGCCCTGTGTTTGAGGCGGGTTTCTGCTCTTCCGTCATCTTTGGCCGCTGGGCACAAACAAGAGAAGAGGGAACATCAGGGTGCTGGGAAATATGGGACTCCAAACCTCCAGCACAGTGTCCAGGATGCACAGACGGATTGTGGAATCGGCATGAATTTTGCTCAGGCTTTTCGTGCCCTCCCTGGTTCGGAGGGGGATTCCGGAGTGTTCTTGCGCCAGACTCTTGCGGCTCTGATTTGGCTCGATGGTTCTTAAACAGACAGAAACACCACATATGTATAGAGACATGCAAACCAACAAAAAACCAACTGCGCCACTTCTTGCTTGGTCAAAGAAAAAGACGTAGATCCAAGACGATCGATTTCCCCTTGTTATTCCCTGAAGAGGATTTCTTGCATCCAGTATCAAATCACCTCAAATCACACTCAGGGTGATCAGTGGCCATCCGACTGTCACTGTGCCACTGAAGTAGTGGCCATCCACTCCTGCAGTGAACTAGATCCCAGGCATGATTTACTACAGTTTACCTGACAAAGTGACCTAGAACTATACTGCAAAAACATAGCACGGAACCATGTAACACCGCAATACCACGCCAAACGTTCGTGCTGCATTCGTTGCGGCGCTGTCGACCCCACGGCCAAAGTCGCGGAACTTGATGGCAAAACACTGATCAGTACAGTCCCTCAAGCAACTAATTAACCTTCTCAATCTGAATTTACGAGACTTTAGAGATTTTCGCACCTCTCAACTTCTGAAAACGCCGCCACCATGGCTCCATGGCCATTGGCCGAACTGGTCCTAGTGGGCCGCACCGGCGCGGTGCAGTGCTGCTCTCATTGGCGGTTTTTTCGGCGCAGCGTAGCGCGAGTGGAAAGAAGGTGGCGGATGGAGCACCAGGCGAGCTGAATTGAGTTTTGCCCAGTTTTTTGGTCCCAAGCTATGACATGCTATGACAATGAGTGAGACTCGTGAGACTCGTGCGGTTTCCCGGACCTTCCGAAGCGTTGGAAAGGAGCAAAGCGTTGGCCAATTGTCCGCTCCGAGGTTTTTTTTTCGAAGGACTCCAAGGATATTGCCAGGATGTTCCATGCCAATCACTGCCATCCGATGATCCTTCTGGCCCCCACCAACCACCCCCTTCGTTACTTCGGGCTCTCTCTCTCTCTCTCTCTCTTTACCTTCTCGCTCGCTCAACGCAGGCGTGTTGGACTGCACCTGGAGCCCTGCCTGGAGCGAGTTTCGGGACACCTTCCGCGCCAATGCGGAGCAAGGCTTCCCTCACAGCGAGGACCAGGGGGGACCGTGACGATGAACGTGGAGGGGACCGTGACCAAGTCCACATGCCACGTGCCACGTGCCACGTGCCACGGTGAGGAACTGGGGACTTGTTCGCGAGGACTGGTGGTGTCGGTGAAGGTAAGATGAGGAGGTTGGGGGAAGGTCGACAGCAGTGTAGGACTTGTGTAAGGATTGGAATCGTTATCTAGGTCGGTCATGTCAGTTGGGTCGGTCGCTTCAGTAGGTTCACAAAGATGAAAGTTTTGGACAGCAGGTGGACCATTCCGTGAGTGGAGGCCATGGCCTCCGTACAACCCCTTTTGAGAGGAACACTTGGCCGTGTTTAGTGGGGCCTTCCACGAATTGCAATTACCTTTTTCGAGCGGTTCTTTCCAGCTTAATTGTGTTCTTCCACTTCATGCTCAAACATCCACAGACCACCCACCTCTCCATCTCGGACCGATCGAAAAACCCGCCCAATGCAGGAGGTCTTCAACCAGGCCGATCGTTTGATCGCTCAGCTCCTCGGCCGGGGACGTAGGCGGCGGGTAAGGCGGCGACGGGGCAACGGGACGGAGGGGCAGGACGAGTTGGTCTCAAACAACCTCAGGAGGTAGGTAAAGCCAAACTCACCTTCCCCTTGGCTATAAATCCTCTCATCCTTGAGAGTCAAGATGGGTTTTGCACGATCTACGACCTGCTCACGAAGTGCACAGTTCTCAGCAAAGGGACCTCAAAATGTCCAAAACCCAACCGAACCTCAACACTGGGGAGGAGAGGTGGAACAGGGTACAGCCCTTGGGCGAACCAGGAACATCCTCACCTTCCTGGAGTTCCATCGCTCAAAGTCGAATGCCTTCTTTCATGGCTGTGACCGGGAGACTGGTCGACGGGGGCGAACAGGTGGGGTTAAGACAGGCACGGGACTGTAGGTTATCCCGGGACTGCTTGCTTGTCAAGCGAGTGAGATGGTGACGTTACAGCCCTTTTTGCCAGGGTTTTTTCGTTTCAACTCAGATCTACAGCAGGGAGGGCAACTTCTTTTTCATTGTACCGAACGTCATGAACTAAGTGCAAGCTGGGACAAACGTACGAGAACGTGAGCACGGCATGAGCACGGCTCTGCGGCGCTCTGCGGCGCTCTGCGGTGCTCTGCGGCTTTGCGGTCGGAACAAGATCGAAAACGCGACACCGTCAGCATGACTGTCACGCATCGTCACGCGCATGTCATGCCTTGAGCCCATCGAGCCTTTGGGTTGCTCCCTCCATGCGCATGTCATGCCTTGGATAGCAAGCTTCTATCATTCTTTCCATACAAACTGCTAGGTAATGGGGGCAACGGCGCCATCACTGCTGTTGGAATCCTGGAAGTAAATGTTGGACAATCCAGATCATGTGCAGATTGCCCACAAACCACATGGTTTGTAAAGGACATCGCCTTTGGCTTCAAGCTCGATTTGCGTGAAGCCATTGACAGGAGACCCGAGAGGACATGGTCTGCTTGTATGGGATGCTCTCTGCACCCTGGATTGAGCACACAGCACAGTTTTTTGCCAGTTGGACTACGTGAGCCCTAAGGAAGGAAAGAACTTCGTAAGGTACAACGAGGTTAAATATCTGGTTGGGTGGTGCTAGTTCTTTTTTTTCCGTAGGTTTCGGTGTTGAAGCCTTAATGATTCTTCGAGACTTCCGGAGCAGTGAATGCAGAAATCCTCTAGATTTCCGAGATGGAATATGACATAATTTGCAGAACATCCCATAAGACTCAACACTCTCAATAGTAGCTCTCTCAGCATCGCCTCATTCCACTTCTTCTTTTAGTTGGCTCGACTCATCGAAGAGCAACGCCTTGATGAGTTGACGAGGGAATTCAAGCTGAGCTTCTTCCCCGGTCGGGGGGAAGCCTTCTTCAGCAAGAGTCCAGACTTCCTCAAGCACGAGGTTGTGGAAGTCTTTTCCATCAGAACACACACACACACACTCATAGACTCATAGCTCCATGAATGCAACAAGAGTCCAAGCGAGAAGTTGCTTTCGACTCCCTAAGGTTCGCGGGCAATAGCAGATATAGCAGTACGGCTTCTACTTAGAAGCCGAACAAACAACCGGAGCTTCAGACCCCCAACGCTGGAACGTCACGACCAGCACCGGAACGTAACGTGGGGGCGTTTTCAGTTGGGTGAGGATTCCATGGCACTGAGTGAGAGAAGTTGTCGAGCCACCCGTTTGGCCACAAAAAAAACCAGCGACGGTCTACGACTCCTCCATTGGGATGAGCCAGCCTGAATTCAAATACACCATGCAGTCACACGAACCTCAATTTATACGTCGACATGACATGAAACAAACTCTGCCCGTACCAAGCCGTACCAATCGAAGCTTGATGTTTCGGAAGGAAAGACCATGAAACATCATCACTCGACTCGACACTTCTGAGGCGCTCTTCGTCCACCACATCTACCTCCGCAGCAACCTCGAGGCCTCCGCGGGTTCCGCCTCCGCTGCTGACCACGCTTCTGCTGACGCGGCCATGGCCGATGACCAGGAGGTCTTCCGTCTCTCCACGAATCTGGCGCGGCTGCTGGTGATCAATAAGAGACGCGGCCTTTGCGACAGGTGGACGGGATGGCAGGGGACCCCCAACATGGATGGTAGGGGTAGTAGGGGGCGGAGACATCTGTCGATATGCGAGCCATGCATGCCATGGAAGGTCGTCTCTGACGGCCAAGCACCAACGCTGAGTTCTCGGGCCTCCAAACGCAACAATCTCCAACAAAAAGACGCCCCCAAGAGAAGCGAAGCTTCCTGCTCTCTCCCCCAGTTCCCCGCACATTTCTTGAACGGCGCTCTTGCTTGTGTTGCTTCGGCCAAGCAAGTTCCTGCCGACCCAGGAACAACTGCTTGGATTTCTTCGACTCCTCCCATTGGCCGCTCAGCGTCGCGCAGCTGGTGACCACCTTAAGGCGCTGCAAAAACCGGGTTCGCGTCCGCCGACGTCCCAGCTCCGGACGTTCGAGGCCGGAGGAGCTGGAGGACTTGCCTCTGCCACCATCGAGACACTGGGCCGTTTGGCAGATGCCCAGTGTACCCAGCTTGCCAGGCGCAAGAGTCGCGCCGCTTGTGAGACAGTCTCGCGAGACCAATATACTGACTAGTATTCACCCCGCTGCTTACGGAGTTGAGCGCTGCTGGGTCGGTGGTGCCTAGTTCTTTTTTGGGGAGGCGATTACGGGGGAGGTGAACAGATGGGGTCAGGTGATGTGGTCAGGTGCTTCCCATAAATAAAGAGGCTGGAACATGCTAGAAAGTTCAAGTCACGTGCCAGTGTACAGTATGATGTTTCTAGCATTGGCACGAGCATCCTGGCAGTTTCGCACAAGAAACATCATAATTCCATTGCTCTCTATGTGCTGCAGACTCCCCCCCACCCCAAAACCACCAAACCAATCCCAAAACACCACCTTTGCACCGGCTCCCCTCTTCGCGCGCCACACCTCTCCGCACGAGGGACCTCTTCGCCTCGCCTGCTCTGCTACATCACCGGTACCCACGCGGCGCTCGCGCGGGAGCCGGCGGAGATGCTGTGGCGCTTCGGCCCACCCCTGCTGGGGCTCCCCGTGGCCTCGGTCATGGAGGTCGGGCGTCTGGGGATCGAGCGGACGACGAGCGTTGGGGGAGCTGAGATTGATAGGGATCGAGTCGGGTCGGATGTCGGGTCCGAAGCACCTGGTAGGTCCCAAGGACGAAGGACGGGCGTCGGG